GACAGCATATAGTACTAAGACCCCGTCAGTGACAGTATATAGTACTAAGACCCCGTCAGTGACAGTATATATATAGTACTAAGATAACGTCAGACCCCGTATGACAGTATATAGTACCAAGACCCCGTCAGTGACAGTATATAGTACTAAGACCCCGTCAGTGACAGTATATAGTACTAAGATAACGTACAGAACCCCGTCAGTGACAGCATATAGTACTAAGACCCCGTCAGTGACAGTATATAGTACTAAGACCCCGTCAGTGACAGTATATAGTACTAAGACCCCGTCAGTGACAGTATATAGTACTAAGAAGTACTAAGACCCCGTCAGTATATGACAGTATATAGTACTAAGACCCCGTCAGTGACAGTATATATATAGTATAGTACTAAGACCCCGTCAATGACAGTATATAGTACTAAGACCCCGTCAGTGACAGTATATAGTACTAAGACCCCGTCAGTGACAGTATATAGTACTAAGACCCCGTCAGTGACAGTATATAGTACTAAGACCCCGTCAGTGACAGTATATACTACTAAGACCCCGTCAGTGACAGTATATAGTACTAAGATAACGTCAGTGACAGCATATAGTACTAAGACCCCGTCAGTGACAGTATACAGTACTAAGATAACGTCAGTAACAGTATATAGTACTAAGACCCCGTTAGTGACAGTTTATAGTACTAAGATAACGTCAGTGACAGCATATAGTACTAAGACCCCGTCAGTGACAGTATATAGTACTAAGTTAACGTCAGTGACAATATATACCTTGATGTCAGTTCTTAGCGTTACAATCTCCTGTGGTAAATAGGGCTCCGTGCCCTTAGCTGGTGGTTAGACCCCGTCAGTGACAGTATATAGGCCTTAGCTGGTGGTACCACACCACACGTTCACTCACTACATATCTGTGGTACCGCTGCGCTAATACTGAAAATGCTTCATGTATGTACAACACAACATTACTTCTTAGAAATATATTTTATTTACATGGATCACTTTTCAGTTGACGTCCTACGCGACAATGTTTGTTGGTAGTAGGACGCCGCACTCAGCTTTAAGCTGGGAGTCTGTAAATACATGAGTCTAGACCAGACAATCCACCTTTGCCGATTCACCATCCCTATCCGTATATCCCTGTCAGCATAGTGGTAACCGTTCTTCAATGCATTACTACGTACTGGTAGGTATGATATATTTATATTAACTCAAATACGATGCATTAAGTATTGGATTAAGTTGTTGCAAATGAATGTAAATCGTTATCCATATCAATGTTATGTATTACTTAAAAATTTACATGAAATGTAAAATGTTTTGGGTGTCAAACATTAGAACAATCTTGTTTAGAACAGGTCTCTCATTTGCGTGGATATTACAAAATGTCGGTGATGCAAATGTGTTTATACTAAAATGTAGAGAAAGATTAACTGACATGTACAAACAAACTTGGCATGATTCTATTTGTAACTCGCATTACTTAACGCACTACTGTAAGCTGAAAGCAGATTTGGAGCCTGAATGTTATATTTTACAACTGAATGATAAGTCTCTTCTAAGAGTAGTTTGTAAATTTAGAATATCCCTGGATAATTTTAGAATTGTTACTTAAAGGAGAAATAAAGACAGTGGTATAACTAGTTGTATCTGTATAAATTGTAATCTTGGAGCGATTGAAGATGAATACCATGTTTTTATGCAATGTACAAAATATAATGAAATTCGGCAAAAGTGCTTGCCACAGCTGAATGCCATGCCCCAATGTGAATAAAGCATGATAAATGTATTACACTCTAATTCTAATACTGTTAAATCAGTTGCTCTGTTTTTGAGACATCTCTTTAAACATTATACATGAAAATATCACGTGGCATTGTAAAATATTGTATCTTTCAATTGTATTATAGCCCGTTAAGCCCACATTACTGAATTAATATGTCAGTATTCTCTATTCTAGTATGTCAAGAGCATGTGTGTAAACAGTGTGTAAAAAATATACGATTAAAATCCTAGTAGAGGCAAAATGTGAAGATGATGTAAAACGTTTAGATAAATGTGTGAATGTTAGTAAAGTGATTTCAATCTTGAAAATGTTTTCATAATTTCATACATGCATATCGACACAAACGTGGCCATGGCCAAGGCAGTATATTGTGTTGCTTACAAGGACACTGACAGAGACAATTATAATATATTGCACTTATGTTGGGAAGTCTAGGATGATCTTACACCAAATCTGATATTTGCCCTTACACCGTTACAAGAAGCATCCCATCATCACAGAAGAGAGCACAATCTTCTCAGTTTCTCATCCTTATTTATCCAGGGTGGAATGTCGTCATTCTGTTAGGATTAATACGCTCCGCACATTCGCTAACACATACCATCGGGTTTAAAGCAGTGAAACCTGTATCAATGTATCAATGAAAATAAAGTTATACTGATCAAAGAAATTCAGTGCTACGTTCGTTAGAACGTGGGAATGGTGAGAGAATGAGTGAGTATGGTTTTACGCCGCTTTTAGTAATTTTCAAGCACCAGAAATGGGCTTCACATATTGCACCCACATAGGGGAATCGAGCCTGGGCCTTCGGCGTGACGAGCCAACGCTTTAACCACTGGGCTACCCCACCGCCCCTGGGAATGGTGAAGTCGCATAGGAAACTGGTTTCGAGTTGGTCTAACAGAATGAGTATATTACAGACTGGGTAATGGAAGATAGTTTGCACATTGATAGTTCCTGGTACCCCCAAACACCATTCACCACTGATGTTTGCCCTGCAGCTCCTTCCGGTAGTTCATCCCCAATCACCATTCACCACTGATGTTTGCCCTGCAGCTCCTTCCAGTACTCCTTCACCACTGATGTTTGTAGTTCATCATCCCCAATCACCATTCACCACTGATGTTTGTTCTGCAGCTCCTTCCGGTAGTTCATCCCCAATCACCATTCACCACTGATATTTGCCCTGCAGCTCCTTCCGGGTAGTTCATCCCCAGCTCCAATCACCATCACTATTGATGGTAATCCCATTCACCACTGATATTTGCCCTGCAGCTCCTTCCTAAAAAGGTAGTTCATCAGGTAGTTCATCCCAAAAAACATTCACCACTGATGTTTGCCCTGCAGCTCCTTCCGGTAGTTCATCCCCAATCACCATTCACCACTGATATTTGCCCTGCAGCTCCTTCCGGTAGTTCATCCCCAAAACCATTCACCACTGATATTTGCCCTGCAGCTCCTTCCATCTAAAACCCATTCACCACTGATGGTAGTTCATCCCCAATCACCATTCACCACTGATATTTGCCCTGCAGCTCCTTCCGGTAGTTCATCCCCAATCACCATTCACCACTGATATTTGCCCTGCAGCTCCTTCCATGGTAGTTCATCCCCAATCACCATTCACCACTGATATTTGCCCTGCAGCTCCCTGCAGCTCCTTCACCACTGAGGTAGTTCATCCCAGGTAGTTCATCCCCAATCACCATTCACCACTGATATTTGCCCTGCAGCTCCTTCCGGTAGTTCATCCCCAATCACCATTCACCACTGATGTTTGCCCTGCAGCTCCTTCCGGTAGTTCATCCCCAATCACCATTCACCACTGATATTTGCCCTGCAGCTCCTTCCGGTAGTTCATCCCCAATCACCATTCACCACTGATATTTGCCCTGCAGCTCCTTCCGGTAGTTCATCCCCAATCACCATTCACCACTGATATTTGCCCTGCAGCTCCTTCCGGTAGTTCATCCCCAATCACCATTCACCACTGATGTTTGCCCTGCAGCTCCTTCAGGTAGTTCAGCAGTAACTGAACTTTGGCTGTCGTTGCACCGTAGCCATAATGGGTACCATCAAAACTGATGGTGGTACTCGTCATATTGAATGTATCAAACACAGGAATACCAAGAGGCCTCAACAGTTTATGCATATTATCGTTTGCTTTTTTCATATACTGAAGCCCCTGACGTTCATATACTGGCGATTTGAGAAGTCCAGGTGCGTGGCCGTTTGCCCACATTAACTTCGGATATTTGAAGGAAGTGTTTTTCACAAAATTTAAGGCCGGCTTTAGATATTCCATAAACTTAGTTACATTGTTGCCTTCGCGTGCTGCAAGTGAAATCATAGCAAGCGTTTTCTTTCTACGACCAGGTGCTTTGATTTTGTTATATAGATCCGGACCCTGCGAAGCCTTCGTGTGACTGATATACTTCAGGTTGAAACTGCCATTGCACAAAGGTTTTGCCTTCAGTTCAAGGGTTGGTCTGCATTCCTTAGATCCGAACTGGTAGGGACCCGGACAATTCTTTAGAGTCACTGTAACACGAAGAAAAAGGTTAATAAGGTTCGAATTTAAGTACAGTAGATGCACTAATGTTAAAAGAGAACCACACCCTCTCTCTCCTAAACTCACCACCACACCCAATACACATACATCTGCCAGCTATGAATTGATATGAATAAGGGGCGTTACCTTTTCTAGCTAACCTCCGATAAAGCTTTGAGCATATCCCTGTGACGTGAAAAGGCGCTATATAAATGGCCTATTATGTTTATTATTATTATAAATGGTGAACGTGTTGAGTGGCGGAAATGGAAAGACATGAATAGGGAAACATTATTTGTAACTTGACCATTCACAGATGATGGCGGTGTTTTATAGGGCGCAAACAATCAAGAAAGTATACGGGAGCAAGTAGAAAAAAATGACTGTTTAAGGATGTCTGTGTGAATAGTATTGTTAATACAATACGTGCTAACGATGTTTATCACTCACAAAAACTTAAGCGGCTACTTATTGTACTTCTCCTAGACACGGATGTATTAAATAAAGTAAAACTTGCTATCGAACTGCACGGGTCATTTTTTGTGGTCATTCACATCTTTTGTCATTGGTCACAAAGGGACAAATCCATGAAACTACCTAGAGGCGAAAAACTGGAGGTGGCCATACTGCTGCGCGCCTCCTGAGACACGGGGTGACCTGATACCCGGATTGGTATTTACACAAAGCAGCCTTTCATCCAGTGAATACATGTATCTAGGTCAGACATTATACTTGGGTTGTATTGAGCAATGACCGTGTTTCAGCAGATAGTAAGGATGTAGGTTGAAAGATTACCACAAAATTAGGGTGCATTTCATTCGGGTGCATTGTACACCATGAATGCCTGCCTCGTATGCAGCCTTTAATACATTATCCAAGCCACTGTCATATTGTAGCGGGATGTAGTGTGTATGCTTTTGTGATATAGTTTTAGAATTAACATTTCAAATTGTTTTATCTTTATCCGTTGTAGCATCATTTTATGTGCTTGAGTCAAAACAGTTGGTCGATTTTATCAAAGGGTGGACGGCTTAGGCGATTCCTGTCTCAAACTATCAAGCTCCTCAAAACAATAGCTTTCAGTTTCCTAGGTGATTAGCATTGTAAAACTACAACTTTCTTCCCTAGAAGATTTTTACACATTTGAGACACAATGCTTTTATAACTTTACACAATACATAACATGTAACTCCAGTTATTTACATTATGTTTACCTCTATAGAATTCCGACTTACCTGTTGGATATTTCATAAATGATGTAAATTATTGTAAGTGTTTATCTTTTATATCAATAGTCAATATACTTTCTATTTTATCAGTATAATGTGTTTAAGATGTATGTGTGTGAGAACATGATTTCATTTGTAGTTTGAAAAGTAAGGCTGTAAGAATATGAAATTTGTTTTTCTAATGCAGCTTACGTGTCGTAAAAATTCATAAACTAGCATCTACACAGAAATGTTTGTCGATCCATAAAAATTGTTCCTCTTTATCATTTCAGGTTCTACATGCCACTCAAAGAACATGGAATAAAAATTGATTGATTGATTGATCAACTCGTTTCTTGTTATTACACACCATTGCAAAAAGTATTATCATTCCATGCATTGAGATAGGTTGGAACTGACTTTCAGAAACACGTGCTTGTCAACCAAGGGGATCGGATGGTCAGGCTCTCTGACGTGGGAGATGCATGCCATGGTATGCTGAGTAGATCGATGCTCATGATATCGATAACTTGAAGACTTCATTATTTACATACCGCTGCCATATAAGTTGTATATTAAAGAAGCCATGATGAAATATGGAGATAATCCTGAACCGTGTCCAAATTTAAAAGTCCTATCTTTGAAGGTTTTTAGAATATTAACTTAAGAGCACCTTTGGGGTCTTGAATTATTTCTTTCGGTTTTTATACCATCAGTTTGTATAATCGACTTGAATAATCGAGTTCAGATAATATACATGTTCCTTATTCAATTCCTTAAATCCAGCATGTCTTGCCAATGCCATATAGGTGGAATGTTCTGAACTGTGGCATTTGACAAACAAATTTTCACAATTCACGACACAGTCAATGTTAAGAGTAGAGAAGCAACTACCTATTTATGTCCAAACTGAATTGTCTAGAGTGAATATTGCTGGTGACTACTTTTGTGAATATGAACAAGAATCTTTGATTCATGTCATGCAGAATGCCACTACCTAACATAGTTTTGGTCACAATAGAAAAATAACTTACTAATAATATTCCTTACGAAACACCAAAACCGCTGACCATTAATAACAAAAACTCGAAAGAATCATAATATCACTTCAAGAAAAAAGATGTGACCAGATGTCTAACAATGATTGGGCACAATGAGTGAAGCCCATTTCTGGTATCCCCAGCCGTGATATTGCTGGAATATTGCTAAAAGCGGCGTCAAACTAAGCCCACTCACTCTAATATTGAAAATGGAAACCTTATCTGTAGGCACAATTTTGAATAAAACCTTTATCTGGTTGAATAAAACACTTGGCAGAATATGATTAAATAACACGTTGAAGTTTTTCTTTGTTAATTTCCTCACCTGTAGCTTAATTAGCCATAGGTTATATGGTCTCATGACGTATCCTCAACATATATTCAAACTGTTTTTGTCCACATTCTATATCCATTGATTTCCTTACAATGATATACAATGATATACAATGATATACTATTCTATACAATGCAATGAACTCTGACATGAATTAAAAGAATTAAAAAATAAAACCCTAACTTTTTAAAAAGTAGTGTAGGTTTTGTTTGTTTGTGGATGCCCTAACAACTGAATATTCTATTTATGAATTAAATCGTAACCCACACCAACTTTAAACCTCCTGTTAAACCATGTAGAGTAGAACGAAATACATACTTTCTAATTTCTCTAATAAAAGAATATTCCTCGAAAATTTGGAAATATCGTCAACTTACCGTTGCTATTTCTATCTTTATCTTTAAGTCCACCGCCGATCGGATCGTTACGCAATAACATAAGCATCGCAGTATAAAAATGACGAAAATGAGAATCTCCAAACAGAAACAGTGTCGAATTAGCCAAAAGTTGACAGGCTTCCTTTCCCGTGAAAACATGAAACGAGCACCTCTTGTCCGCCGGTATCCACGTAGCATACTCCGCGTGTACACGTTGTCTGACGTCGTAGCAGTTTTTGCAGCGACACTTTTCCTCTGGTAGCGCGACGCATCTATTATTAAAACAACAAGGTGTTTTGCTGGTTGGGTAACAGAGAGCTCTCGCTTGGCGGTTATAGGGAAGAGTAAAGTTTCCACACAGCCCATCTGGTCTTGATATAGGACTAATTATATTTAGTTGTTTCCGAGAATGATTCAGGAACTTTTCTTGTGTGAACACTTCTTGCTTTGTCATGACCCTTTGCTTCCAGTGTCCTTTTGACATATTGTCCAAAACACTTGGGCAACGAGTTCCACCTCTGGGGATCACTTTGGACTTCCGGTTGTTTGGAGTTGATTTCTGCTTCCGGTTGTTTGGAGTTGATTTCTGGATGCCAGATTGTACACGATCTGATCCTATGATATGAACTTTACGCTCCCAGATTCTTGACGGCGCTGTGTATGGAGCGTTCCCGGAATACATATCCACAGTGACTTTATTCAGCATTATTGTGGCAACGCTGAGAACACTGATAATGATTACTCCAGATCTTAACGAACCACAATAACCCATGTTATGTGAGCAGCGATGGAGCAGTTTCATTGTCGTACAATACCGTCCTCACAAGCATAAGAACTGAGTAGAATCTTCTATGTGATGTGAGCAGCATGCACCTCACCTGAAACTATATACATGTATATAGGTGAAGAGCATCAAGTGGCACGCCGACGTAATCTCGTGAACAATGAACTAATTTCATCAGTAACTACATATCAAAGCGAGAAACTTAAAGCATTTGTGTTGGGGGGTGTTCTCTTTTTGCCGGCAGGTATTGTTTAGGGATTAATCTCAGTGGCCCGAACTAATCCTTAGAACAATTGGGATTAATGCTATAGTCCCTATTAGAAATGTAAGTATGCCAGCAAATAAGGAGAAACGGTAAGTTTTGTTTATGGCATATAACATCCGCCAGTACAATAAATACACGAGTATGAATCATTTGACAAATATGGTGACATTGTTATCAGTGAGTGAACTTGGTGGGGAGTGAACTCCACTTACTCGAACAGGCTATATTGTGCAAGCACTCGACTGTCAATCCTAATCCGCTTATAGCCAATTAAAGTGCAGGCAAAAAAGAGAATACACCTTGTGTTAGATATTATAATGTTTAATCCTCTTACATTTAGCTCGGTTCCTATATAAACAAGCTTCCTGGTCTTTGACGTAATTGTATTTGTCTGTGAGTTAACAAATTAGTTCTGATTAACTGGCAACTAATTGTGTCATTGTCTAACACGGCATTTTATTACGTAACATTATGACATTGATAGCCTTAATGGACATGTTGACAATGACAAAGTAATCAAGTATGGGCGTTGTTGTTATGTATAGTAAGGAAATGATGTGTTGGACAATGCCTCAAGGCATGTTTTCCTGTCGAGGTAAGTTTTTACAATGTTCAAACACGGGCATGAATTGGTCAATTGTCATTTGAAAAATTGGATGTATTCTGTCTGTTGCTTCGCTTGCTAGATACACTTTGAAATACACCTCTGTCTTATACAAATGCCTGCAAGTTACTCACGTTGTGCACCCGTTGGTATATTATTTCGTTTTTTTGTCCTTATTTTATTACTTCATGCATTTTTCTTTAAAATATATGTTAATGATTGATACAATATCTCATGTAACATATTTGAGCAATTTTCTGTTTTTCAAATTTGTTCACACCATTGCCAAAGTTGATAATCAACGTCACCTATGAATAAACAGTGTAATGCAGGGCGTGTATCTTACTTTAATAATTCTTTTCTCCCATCTACTGTTAAGGCATGGAATTCGCTAGACATCAATATGAGAAATGGAGAATCATTATCAAAATTTAAGAAATGTATATCTTGTGACATGACATTATCCCCAACATTTAAGAATTATATATCGTATGGTCCCAGGCGAGGTCAAATTCTTCTCTGTCGTTTGCGCCTGGGCTGCAGTGATCTTAATTCTCACTTGTTTGATAGATATTTGTCAGACAGCCGAACCTGCTCCTGTGGGAACACTCGAGAAGATGCTTACCATTATTTCCTTCAGTGTCTCTATATGATAGGTTTAGATTTATTTAATACTTCTTTCAAAATAATATAAGTTTACATGCTATTCTAAGCGGCGATGAATCTTTGCCCCAGTATGAAAACGAATTAATAATAAAATCGGTTTACAGTTTCTTAAATGATACCAACCGTTTTCCATAAAGTGTGGTACCATATGCTTTACTTAGTTTGAAATTATTGAATTACTTATTTCCACAAATGTACTTATAAAATCATTCTCTGCAAGATTATGTTTAGGAGAAGCATTTACATAGGCTGATGCAGCCTGTTTGCTGATCCTTTTTCCTTTTTTGTAACTTAATCATGTTTAATGTATATCACATGTCTTTCGGGAAATAAAATACTGTTTAAATCAATAAACAACGTTTCAGGACAATTGAATACAGGGTCAAAGCGTGTCATTCTTAGATGGAGAGCGGATTGTATATGTCTGAGTTTTAATCCCTTTAGAAAATGGCCTGCGTTGTTTGTATAGCCGAGGGCTGAATCCTCTCCCAGCCTTCTTTATTTAAATATATTCAAGATTCTAATCTGAACTTATTAATACTGTAAGCATTTTAAAATTCAGAACAACTCATGAAGATAAAGGGCAATTCGATGTTAGTCATAATCAGTTACGGGGCGTGGTGGGCGAACTGTCTCAGACGCCAGGCTAGTGATCCAGCGAGGTTGAGGTGTCGGGATCGAGCCCACCTGTGACCGGGTGTAAAAACGGGGTGCGGACAAAAACCCCTGTGGACAAAACCCCCCTGGGACAAAAAACCCTAGGACAAAAAAAAAACACCATGTAGGACAAAAAACCAAAAAGCTCCAAATGAATAATGAAGAGTGTTTATCAGTCAAATATTTATTCAGCCGATCTGAGCACTAATTTGCCTCTCAACACAACCTGATTTTATGTCCGACCTTGGTATCAACTTTGTGACTCTTTCAGTGTTGTCACAACCCCTAGTGTACAGTACACAACCCTAGTTGCGAGTACAGCAACGTGCAGTAACTATGGATATGTGTCCCAGTCCACCCAGCTATGAATGGGTACCTCGTAAGAATGGGAGAGCCACATTCACTTGGTGTGCCTGGTGGCTGCAAGAATTGTATGGTCCCCAGGGAGTTGAGATTCATAATACAAGATGCCGTTGAGATTGACATCCAATGATCGATTCAAATACCTAGCTGGTACTCGGCGCTATATAAATATATGATAATAACAGATTATTATAATTTACTAATAAAGACACAGTCTGGCTAGTCAGAG